GTGGCACCGTCCACGTGAAATTCATGGTGCTATTACTATTTTTTCATACTTTCATTGTTTACGCCGGGCTGAAGAGTTTGTCGGGTGATCCATCATTTTCGGAGGAACAAGGCATGACAATGGCATAGGGATATCACTGGCTGTAACCACGCATACTCGTGGTGCTTGAATTTCTTCACGTCGAGTACCTTCCTGTGCCTCGTCTTCCCCCTTCCTTCCCCACTTTTTCGCTACCTGAGCAACTTATTCATGAACTTTGCAATGCCAAGCGTGAAAAGAAAGTGAATGTCACAGGTAGACGTAGGTAAATATAAACATAAAACAAGTTCAGTCGGAAAATATAAAGCAAGATATATCAAGCACGTTGCACCCCTGAGTAGCGTATGAACTAGTTCGCTCGCCTTCCTGATCGCCTTCAGCACGGCCTAGGTGGCCATTTGTGGCTAGGGGTAGGATAAAAAAGGCTTGTTTTGTGTGTGTTTGCGTGCGTAAGGAAAGTACGCGGGGGTAAAAGAAAAAAATATAAACATGCGCATTAAAAAAACAGAAGCAAAGGCAGGAACCCTGGAATGAACAAAGTGGAGGAGATAGCGTTTGCGCTAAGCCCCGGGGGTGGTGGAAGTCGATCACGGCCTGTTTGAGGGAGGGGTACGTGAAGATTTTTTTTTTGTTTTCTGTGAGCGGCGCCCTTTGTGTGCGCCCTTAATCATGCTGCAGGGAGCGACGTTTGGCTTCCCATCCCCGCCTGGTCCCGACTGCCTCGAGAGTGAGAGACTGTGATGAGTTGTCCTTTCCACCTCCTTTTTCTTTTTTTCTACACCCCTCGCTCTTACTTTGCCCCTTTTCTGTCGCTGACTACAACGGGAAAGCCCGGCTCGCGACCAGGGCAACGGCGTGCGATAACGTCCCGATCGGATGTGCGGGGACGTCGGCCAAAGCAGAGAGGACGTCCAGCTCGTCTTTCTTCGCCGTTCTTCGACGCGACGGCCAAAACTTCATTTAGGAGACGAAAGTTCGGGCTTAGAAGTGGCGCCCCGAAAATGGAGAGAAATCCGTGGACAAAGCGGTCCGGGGGGGTGAGAGCGGGAGAGCGCTGAGGTCAGATACGTGGTGATCTACAAGCTGCGGTGCGGGCGCCACGGCCGGTGTTTCTCCGATTGGTGCCCTACAGACGAGATAGCGGCAAAGGTGTGAGGCAACTTTTGTCTTTCGCTTTTCTGTCGTCGTCCCCCCCCCCCCCGTTGTGCCGGGCGCGGGTCAATCGTGCAGAAAATTGGATCAGCTTTTCTTACGGACCATACGAGACGTTGGGGGCCGATTTCTTGTGAAAGTTCGAACGATTTGCAAGCCGTGTGCACGCACGAACAGCTCGAACTAAGGGTGTTGATTTTTCCTAATCGGCATAGCCCACTTTTTGACGACTACGATGACTACGTCAACAACAACAAAAACAACTTATCCGCCCCGCGAGTGCTTTGAAGACGCCGCTGCTACGTAGTCCCGCAGTCACCCCTGAGGAAGGAACCAAGTCGGTTTCGAAACGTCTGGTTTCTTCAAAACTTTTGGTTGGAGTCTAAATCATCTCCCACAACTTTAAACAGCATGAAAATATATGAAGAAAGCTAGATATGTGTACCTAGAAATGATGTAGCAGAGTTCGTTGACCACTTTCAGATATGCATGCATGCATAGGCAGTTTATCCTTATATGTAAAGGCAGTCACACAAGTACATCTGTTAAGAAATTAAAAAAAAATTGTCACGTTTTCTTTTTTTTTGCTTGTGCCTTCTTGTAAAAAAAAAACCTATGGTGACCCTAATCTTCAAAATAGGTGCCTTTAATTGCGCTAACCCCTAGCGCTTGGTGAACATTTGGTTCGCTTCGGTAGACTTTAAAGTGATGGACGACTACATTGTAGCGGGTACGCCGTCGTGTTGGCGCATACCCACAAAGAACAGTATGCACTTTCACTGAACACCTTCAATTAATTTAAGCGCACTTGAGCTCTACTTCACTCTCCGTGGTCTCCAAAATCAACGCAGAGGCCGCGTAGAAAGTATCGTGTGGTTGAGATTCGCCCCGCCAAGTGGCGCCACAATCCCAGCTGTTCTAGAGTTACTGTATACGCTACCTAAACGTAGTATGTACAGTAACTCTGAGCTGTTCGTAAGAAAAACTAGTTCTTTAAATGAACTCATTCAATTATTATTGTGATGCCAATTATATTGCCGCTATCAGCGAATTTTCACCATCGCACTCATCTCCTCGATATGTATAAGTACGTATACATAAATACAAGCCCCCGAAAAAACAAATAGAAAATCAATTTTCGAAAACGGGATTCGATCCAGCGACCCATCGCTCCGCAACCAGCCGCATTAGACAGTTCTGCCAAGCGCCACCTGTTCTGCAGACGCTAATGGTGAGCGTTTACTGCTGCCGGCACGCAAATCTTAGAGGTGCCTTGGCGTGTTCAGTACCATGCACCGAGAGATGATGCGCAGGTCACGCTTTAAAGCAACGCTCCTTGATTTGATTTCAACTGCCCTCGAGACGCGCAATAAAAAGTGGCTCTTTTGTGTCCTTTAGCGATGTGGAACGTCGGGGAAGCAATGATTCGAACGCCACACGCCACAGGCGGCGCAGAGCGTTCACTCCACGCGCCGAGGTGTTCAACAAGGAGGCGCTGGAACAGCCTACACTTGCAGCGTGAAGGAGTAACATCTGTGACAGTTAGCTGTTCAAGTTTGTCCTGTGTATGTATATTTGTGCGTTATTTTCGAGCACTCTTCTTCGTGTTTGAGCAGTGCGATGCGAATGTCCAGCTGTGATGGCTGAAAGCTTGCGCTCGTCCTGAGAGGGTCCCTTTCGTGCGTTATTTGGGCTAGAGCGATGCTCCGCAAATATAAAGCTGCGTCCCGTTCATCGTGTTTGGTAATTGTTGGTTTATGACGTCCCAAAACGACGATATGAGAGACACCGCAGTGGAGAGCTTCGGAAATTGCGACCACCTGGGGTTCTTTACCGTGCACCTAAATCGAAGTATACGGGACCGGAGCAGTTTAGCTACCACTTAAAATGCAGCCACCACGGCCATGAATTCGAACCCGTGACCTGCTAGTCAGCAGTCAATCACCATAAACACTCGACCACCATGGCGGGCGACGTTTATCGTATGACATTCAAAACTGTTGCTATCGATCACATTCATTACTTCGCCATTGCGGCGAAACTACGACTCTTTTCATTAATTATTTGCTCTTGAATAAACTTATGCACCGACATCATATGTTTGCACTAGAACTCTTAACTTGAACCATTACTTCCTTTTTATGTGTATTTTTTTACCGAGCTCCTTAAAAAACACGCCGCCAAATGCTAGCTCATAAAGAAAAATATACAAAAGCGGTTGCTCCATATGCAATTAATTTAGGGACACGTGCTTTTTCATTTATACGCGGTAGCTTCCATTTCCGTCTATTTTGCCTCGTCACCGGCAAAGAAAAAAGGCGTGCAAAAAAAGAAAACGAGCGCGTGATGTTGACAGAAACCAGTTCTGCAAGGCAAGAAACCATGATTTTTTTTCGATCGAGAATCATGAAGCTTCTGATCACCGCTTGAGTGCACTTTTTGGATGAATAAATGAATGTTCTTTATTTCACACTAGCTTAAACAAAATACGCACGAACTGTATGGACCCACAGCCAAAGGCTAGTGCGGGTCCAATCGGAAGTGACCATAATAAAAGCTGTAATAATTCCGAAGTGAACAATTCAAATTTGATATCATCATACAAGAAATGATGTTTATCTCTAAACAACAGTCACTAGAATTTCAAATAAAAAAGAGATAAAAAGTTAAGTACATAACTTATAGTTTACACAATGTTTTGGTCATTAGGGTCGTACAGAACTGCAGAGTGAATCTTGTAGTACAGAGTAACAATAATAGTTACCATATATAGCTTATAAATAAAACAGGGGTATTGCAACAGCTAGCAAAGAAGACACATAAATGACAATATATATACATGTCGAAAAATTACAAACCGAACTAACAGTAAACTGAAGCAGAGAAAATTACTTCAAAGTAGATTTTTTTCACTGAACAGGACAGGTTCAGGGTATCTTTATATAATGCGGTATGCCGTTCCATACTTTCACTCCCGTATATTGTATAGTACACTCTTAAAAAAAAGTAGTGCTACTTGCTACTTTTGGGTAGTAACAGTTTGTCACATATGTTACAACCCTGTTAGTAACGGGAGTTAGTAACGGCAAGCGTAGTCACTGTTACTACTCTTGCCGTTCCTAGCAGCAGCTAGTAAAAGCAAGGGTAGGAATCCTTACTACCGTTGCTGTTACTAACAGCAGGTAGCAACAACAAGGGTAGTAACTGTTACTGGCCTTGCCATTACTACTTCCTGTTAGTAACGGCATATGTAGCAATAGTTACTACTACTCCCATTACTATAATATGGTTGTAACATATGTGACAAGCCGTTGCTACCCAAAAGTAGCAAGTTCCACTACCTTCTTCCAAAGTTACGAAGCTAATATGTTAGTAATCGATGCTACGTTCTTACTAGCTACGGCTGGTATGGAGGTACGACAGACTCTTCGAATACACAATTGTGTGCACACCAGGTTAGTTGAATTGATTATTCTGATGGCCATATTTTACCGAGAACATTGTAGCTGTAATGAATGCGACGAAAATGCGGGTATATATACCAATAATATAGATATGCACTATACATATAAAATCAGAATAATTGCCAATGTATTGCATCATGGTATTTAGCACTTTTTCTTGGAAAACACCTGGTTCTGTTCCACACTGCGAAATATATTATCATGAAAGACACTACGAACACACCTCCAAATTCACTGCTGAGTGTCAACGGCCGTATAAAACCACAGGTTTATGCGGCTGACATTGTCAGGAACAAAACAATGCATTGTTCCAAAAGCCAGGGAGCAATGAAATATGCCACACAGTGCATTTTTATATGAAAACATTTATTGATAACACACGTCTGTAGGCATAACTTAAGTTGCCTTTTCAAGCGATGATATTTGCCGTATGACTAGCGGCATCTGCTTTGCACTTGTCGGCAAGCCACAGAAATGTTCAAGTAGAGTGAATGTTTTTTTGTTGGCGCCACTGTACTTGACATCGAATATCCAGTATATTTCCATAAGCGCCGTCATACCTGCAATTACATCAAGCACCTCTACACTAAGCCCTTCAAAGCTCGCAACTATGTTTGTAGCTTCAGAGGCATTTTTGCCCTTCAGCGAAAGGGCAGGGTAGGTGTCCTGTAAAATGAGTAATACATAAAATCAGCATCACTGATGAAAAGTATACTAGCTGATATAAAAAAAGGTAAAGCAAATAAGCTCACCGGTCCCTGCAGAAATCGCGGCTGCTCCTTTAGGAGCATGGGCAGCAACTCGACAATGCCAACGGCAAAGCGATCTGTTGACGAAATATTTTTAGGCACATCAAACTTTCACATATAAGGGCATTGACAGTAATACTCCTATGAAAATGACTTATAAAAGTTTGGAAATTTGGGAAAACTGGAAAAGCTGGCAAGCTTCTACACGTACATTTCTTTTCGTCACCATCCAGTGCCTCGACTTCTTCTTCAATTGCTTTCACAGCTTCCTTCGCGCAACGACGACACTTCGCAAGCTCAAAACACCGGTCTCCATACCGGTTTATAAATTCCAGGACCTTTTTTTCTAAGTTAACGCCAGTGAGAGCAATGAACTCCTCATGAAGCTAGAACGACAAAAAAATTGTACCGAATCACCAACAAATTTGCAACTATCGATAACATAAAAAAACTCATTGTTAAGTTCTCTCACATACATTTCTGCAGCAGGATCAAAACCACAGCTGTTTCTGCTCACCATTTCAGCCTTTGCCAAAGCAGGGTATTTCAGCACCACATCTGCTGTTGATGGCCTCATTTCCTTCATCCACTTCTGTCTAGATGGTCTTGTCTGCTCCATAGAATCACCGAGTTTTTGCATGTCAGGAATAGGCCGCTTGATTTCTTTCACCATGTAGTCAATATGGCTATTAATTGTAGCCTCATCATGCTGAGAAGCGACATGTTGGGAGAGATCTACAATCTAATCAGCAAAAAAAAGATGGTACTGCACAGTGAAAGATCACGACAAATGACATGAAATAGGCAGACATGAAAACTCAACTTTTTGCTAGCTCAGTTGAAGAATGTTGGCATTTTTTTGAACTGGACATGTGTAGAGAACTCAATTACAGGGTTGACTTACGTAAGAGAACTGAAGCAGTGTGTACTGATACCATCTTGCTCTGCGAGTGTGTCATAAATTATGTTAATATCAAAGTTCTCACAATGATTCTCTCCAATGTCGACCACCTCGGCACTTCACCACTTCCAAATTTACACCTTGTGAACCAGCATATCGCAAATGTGTGTGTAAAACCAGTGAACCACGCCTCCTACCTATATCAGAAGGAGTCTGAAGAGGTAACACTGATTTTAAATATTGCCAACTGCGGTGTCGGTGTTAGAATACAAGAGTTGTTGCCTTTATATGTATGTCATATATGTAAAACTTTGACCAGATATTAGTTAGTAGTGCTTGTTCTTTCATATAAAAAGAAAGTTTGAAAACTTGAAATTTCGAACCTAATATGTATCTTGCCTCCCCCCCAAAAAAAAATGTTCACCTCTAAAAAGCTTCTGGAAAAACATTGGTTTATGTATAGTTACATGGTGTAGTCAACAAATAAAGAGCAATAAGGAGCTTTTCTAATGTAGAGGACAGACAGATATTGAAGCCAAGCATAGCATATGGGCATTGTTTATGGTGGCCACTGAAAGGGCATTAATTATCGCTGGTTGGAGCTTTCACATCACATGCTCACTGAGCTGCAGTAGTTTGATTTCACCTGTCCACTTATTTCAGTACTCATGCGAGTTTAATAGTTGAATCAAAGGATTGTCAGTCACTTTCAGTGATAAGTATGGTGCAAAATGTAGAACACAATATTTAAAGCTGGAATGATGCATGATGTCAATAACAAGCTGATACCGAGCAATAAATCTACTACTTGCTAACCAAGGAGCATGGAATCAGCCAAGTCGGGAACCTAGCTACAAAATGAAGAAAAGAATGAGGAATCGAGCAACATGCCCGCGGCACTTGCTGAAACGCCGAGTTTTAAACATACAGGGACACATAGAAGTTTGATAGAGCGTTACCATCTTGACTCAAATAATAGAGCCTTGCATGAAAACTGTGAAAGTTGTTGTTTTGTTCTCCATAGGAGATAAGATGATTTTTTTGTTTACCAAATTTATTTTGTCTTATTTTGCATTTACTATACTTTAACTGTCAATATGGCCCTGAAAACTTGCCTGGCTTCTTAATGTGTTGATATGAAGAGGTTATATCGTTAAAAACATGAATAATGTTTTACTTCAGTAGCTCACACATAAAATAAGAGTGACTTCATAGTTGAGTTCTATGTACCAGTCCATTTGACGTTTCACTTACCACATGGCAGTGCCGCTTAGTATTGGTGCTTTCTTCTAAGTCTTTGCGTTTTCCGTAAGCTGCTCTCGCTGCTTGAACAGCTGGAACTGTGCACAGAGACTTCCTCATATATGCGAATTTGTATTTCAAGGAGACTTTCCATGAGTCCTGGAAACAACAATTTTTTTTATTATTTCAAATTTCCGCACAGTGGACACTGTCCTCTTTGAACATGGTCACTTTTGAAGCAAATGATTCTTTGGGAACCTTGATACACTGCTTTTAACCTGCTATGGGGCAGAAGCAGATTCAGGTGACAATACCTGGCAAATTTAGCTGTTCCTAGTAATATCAGCATATCTGTTGTATTTTAGCTTTATCTGCTCATTCCAAACTCCGGTTCCTGCATTTTATGTATGTGCTGGAGCCATGCGGCATGGCGAAGATCGTGGCATTTCAGTCGCAGAACTGAGCTTGTGTGAGCCTCTATTCAAGCTGTGATTAGAAACTACATATACCATTAGTGGTAATATTCAATCCCCAGAAGCGATGCATTACATCTGTATTTATCCTCTTAAACCGGTGTTAAAGCTTATAACCAGGGCCAGTTTTTAACTTTATTAATGCATGATATGAATATATTGGCCATGGGCACCTAGTTGATGATTATTATCAAACCCTCAAGTTAATGTCTGCCATTATCAGAGTTCGATGAAACGACTCTAAGAACATGCATGGCAATTATTCAAATGTAATAAATATGGGGTTGAAACTTCTTGAATGCTCTCCAAGAACAAAATAACTTGAAGGGCACCTGCAGTCTAGCTCACCAACATGTATGACATCCCAATAAAGTTATAGGAATGCCATTGCTTTAGTGCTTACCCAGCCTGTGCCAATAGTGTCCCTTAGCACTGGATATTCCAACACGAGAGATTTTGCAGCTGCTTCGTAGAGGCTTCCTGGATAGCTGTAAAAAAGAGCAACTTTAAAACCTGTACTGAATTAAACACATGCAAATACATGCCTATACTTACACTGTTATAGTCATGAGATGATTTGCAATCCACCCTACAATGCGGGATTTAGTGTGACTGGACACTTTTCCTGGTTGTGTCCTTTCAATCGCATCCTTAATATCTAAGGGCACAGGTGGTAGCCTATAATCATTTTCACAGCAGGCAAGCTGCTGACTAGGTGACTGCTCATTACTTTCAAGGGTCTTGGGCAGGCTACCTTCATGCACTGCTGTCACTTTGTCAGTTGTGCTGAAAACAGAGGCTAGTAAGTGATGCAGTTTTCCAAAAGCAATATTAAACTTGGCACCTGAAATTTAGGTACTGACCTGCAGCTCATTAAGAAGTTTTCACTGCACACAAGCCTGATTTTATCTTTCTCAGAGAAGACATGGCCAGCTGGTGGGTCCACAAATTCATCATGTCGGACGTTGTATACCTGAAAGAGATTCAGATGTGATGTTCAAATTCCCATAAAGTTACCTCAATAGGCACAGAACCTGAAGTAAGCAGACTACCAATGTTATATTCAATAGCACCCTAGAATCACTTTACTTGTCCTGTTTTTTTTTATTATTATCATGATGCCGTGTGTATTGTCGAGAAACCCTTAATGTATGTATTGTAAAGAGCATTGTAAATTACTCGTCTGGACATTCGGTATCAGTAAGTTCAGATTTGTGAAATAGTGACAATTAAACTTGTGAAATTTCACTGTTTCATAACATCAATTAGAAATAAACAAAAGCATTTAATGATTGCTGTACTAGCAGAAGATAATCACTGTGCTACAACGAAAAACCACACTCACAGTATCTGCTATCTATAAAATACTGTATACGCTAATGGCACAAGTCTTCATTCAATAGACCATGGAGCCTTATATTTTCGCACGTTGAAGGAATTATTAGGCTGCATTTCTTGCGTGCGCTAAGCTGAAGCAAATTTTTTAGCTCTGTTGTTATCTCTGTCGTCAAACTTTTCTTCTACAGTGTATCACAATTTAGAAATTAGAAATGGCTCTAGCCAAGTTCGTAGAGATCTCGACGTTTCGGAACCAATTCGGTATTTTCCTAAGGAGATGACTATATTGGTCATGGAAGCATCTCCCCGTCTTGTTTGACAATGGCCCCTGCTTTCTCTTTCTCTCGCGTATCGGAGGCTGTGAACGTATACAGAGGGAATTGTTCCTAACGACCGGTTCATGTTTACAGGTGTGTTCTGAATGTAACAGCATTTGAACAAGAGCCTCCTTCATAGATTCCTTTCTGTTTCAAGAACAGAAGCGATGTCGAAGTCGATCTTATGATCGTGCTTCTCATATTACTCTGCAAGAACGCTATGCTGCACTTCTATCTTCCAGACTGTTTCTGGGAAACACTTTCTCTGACCTATGTAGCTGGCTTTACCTGGCAGCTATCACCTTTACAAAAATGGCTAAAATTCAAACTGTGTTTCAACATCCAACACCACCGCTTGGCAACACCATAGTTTTTTGCAGAAGCGAAATCATGCGCTAATAAATACAGTGTTGATAGCCCATTAATGTTTCGAGTGCACACATTTCGGCAATGAAATAGCTAAATAGAGATAAAGGATCCGTCGCTATTCCATTGGTAATTTGAATACTCACACACCTAATAATTATTGATGATTTCACTACACAAAGCAACACAATATATCAAAGAATACAAAGCATTAAACACACCTAACGACACCTGCGAGACAGAAATGCCGACCGTGGGGCAAACGTACAGCATTGGTGAACAAGCATCCAGAACACAAGACTGCGCGCGCACGCACGCACGCACGCACGCACGCACACATACACACACGCACACGCACGCACACACACACACACGCACACACACACACACACACACACACACACCACACACACACACACACACACACACACACACACACACACACACACACACACACACACACACACACACACACACACACACACAACACTTTACGCTAGCTTTGAGAATTTTCAGTTTCTGACGAGCATACCTGGGAGCACAGCTGGCGGTCCCCCCGCCCCTCACCCTATTGTCAATTAAGACGTAGAAGGGGGTCGCCATGTTTGCCCCACTCATTGACACAATAGGGAGAGGGGTGCTGAGTTTCAGAAGGCAGCGCAAAGTCAGCCAGGGTAGTATGCAGATATCTTTTTCAGAGGGGAGGGCACGTTTCTGATCTATAGTGGGTACCGGGCAGGTAAACGTTCATTTTGTTCTGTGTAGGCAGAGCGAAAAAAAATTTCGGGGTGGGGGGAGAGAACGTGCCCGGCGTGCAACCTTCACCCAGCCCCCCTCTTCAGAGGGGAACCCTGCGCATGCCGATGCTAACAAGCAGCTTCTGCACCCACGCTATTTTCACTATGGAAGATACATGCAGTAACCACAGAAATTAGCCTATTCCATGTCCTTCGAAATTGATAATAAGTCTTTCTTGTAGTCCAATTTTATTGATTTCATGTTTTACGTGCGGTACAAAAGTCTTACTTTTTTTTGCTGATCTCCTTACATACCTAACCTCTTAACATCCTAGCTATGCCTTTATTCGTGAACAATCTCGCTCAATTTGAACACCAGGAAACGAACTCAGCGACGGCCACTCATCTTACCAACGCCGTGTCTTGGTGCATTGCCTGCTCGATAACTGGATGACCAAGCGCGCTGCCCCACTTTCCGCTAATGAAAGTTCGTGCGTGCCTCCGAGAGACAGATCGAGTGCGCATTTTTTTTTACCATTTTCACCTCTCATCCTCTACATCTGTCATTCCCACTTCCCCATCCTCGGTGCAGTGTTGTTGAGTTGACCTCCGAAGTGAGCCACAGTTACGAGGCCACACTTATTTCTTCACTTTTTTTTTAAAACCACCCCGATAGCCGATTCGCACCATTACATTATCGCAACACAACCACTGCGAATGCCAGCAAAGGGTGGTTGCGCGCCGCCGAAGCGGAGATTAAACCTGGTTTACATCTCCCATCAGCAACTCCGAGACCACGTGCACGCTTCGCGGGCCGACAGCTCCAGTGAGAGAGCAGGGCAAGAAAAGCCCCACGCTTCGAAAAGCGCGAGCGCATGCTTGGTAAAACTGTTGAAGCACGTGCTAACAACGGAATATAATCAGTACTGTTTGGGCCACTGTCACAATGCAATTCGATGCACTTCAGGATAGAGACAACATACCTCAATCCGGCATGCTTGCAAAGAATGGCCAAAGTCTGTCGTCTTCAAGGCTTCCAAAATGTCCGCCTCCGTCGGTCCACGAGCAGAAATAATCTTCTTGCGGCCTTGAAATGACACCAAATATTGGAATTCCGGCGGCTCCATGAATACACAAGCACGTGGGCGCGGGAGGAAAGCTGCTGACACGTTCACACTGCGACAACCTGCTCTTTGCCTGGCTAGCCACCCTAGCCTGGCTCAGCTTCCGTCGATGTGTGCGCCCCCTGCCGCGTTTCAGTAATCAGCGCCTCCTGAAGGTAACTATCACAACGACGCTGTCTGTTGTTAAAATTTTGAATCTTGAAGACCATTTGGCTCTGTGCAGCGGAAATTTGTCCTGTCTGAAACCTGTAGCTGGCATGCGAAGGTAATAAAGAACATTTTATTCATTATGCCGGTCCAGTTGGGGACAGCGAGTGAGTAGAAGGGCATGAAAAGAGAACAAGTTCTCCCCCCCCTTTTTTTTTCCTGGTCTCTTCTCTCGCTTTCTTATTCCCATTTCATCTCTCCACTCTAGTCTATTATCCCCCTTCCCCAGTGAACCACTGCTCAGGTGTCGCAGTTGGCGGCAAATATTTGCGGGGTTCACTTTTCCTTTCTTTTCCGATTCTGAAAACCACTGCCCCCCCCCCCCCCCTAACGTTCGACACTGTAACGCGCCACCACCTTCCATGTTTATATAGCTTACAATTATGCGCTTAACCAGATGGACATTGGTACAAATAAGTAAGACCACCACAAAGAAGCTAACTCAATTCAATTTGTGTGCATCGAGCGCACAAATTAATTAATTTATATTAATTCTCTGCTGCATGACTCGCTCGTGTAGGCAGATGCCACGTCCGTTTTAACGTGAATTTACGACGACAGAAGTCATGTGCAGCTACCACTTCGCTCAATACTAATTAAGCAGCGGTTGTGTTATTTCAGATAGTGTGATGCAGCTCCCCACGTGTTGTTTTGAAAGGTGTGAGACACAGTTTTCAAGGCCACTCGTAAAAACAAACTGCTTCAAGCATAATGTAGGCAAAGAATTCTGTTATCTCTCGGCCATTCGATGAGAACTTGAATATGTTCTCCGAGCACGTGAATGAAGTGCTAAGATTTCATTTATCGTGGCCATTGAGTTCGTGACAAAACAATCACCGGTGTCAACATCATTTATTCTACAAGCGATATTATGTCACTTCCGCACGGTCTCACTCCGAGAGAGACTCTAATGGAGTGATTGTGTTGCATGTAGGTAATATTCACTATCAAAACCTGTGTGAGAAATTTTTTTGTTGCTTCAAGGTCTTGTTGTTCTGTTAGGAAAGATATACATACATTGGCTGAAGGAAAGAAGTGAAAACTGAACGGCTCGTTTTTCTTTGTTCGACAGAATATTAATGAGGACTAACAGACAATGATGCCAGAGATAGTATAGGGAATGTTATTCGTAGTTATTGCAATGTAAGTTTGACGAAATAAAAGTGGACGAAAAGGTAACTTACCGCAGTCAGGGACCGAACCTTCGACACGTGCGATGCTCTATATATAGAGCAGAAGTTGGCACAGCGACGGGCCAAATGGAAGGGGGGGGGGGGCTTTGCGAGCAAAGGGATAATGTAAAAAAACTGTAAAATCATGTTTATTTTAAGCACGCGTCATGAGGTTCCAATTAAACATTGGTTACTAAAAAAATTGCATTTTAGGCCAAAACTGCCTGGTCCTTTAAGTATACGAAGAAATAAGGTTAGAAGGAGAGGGGGGGGTGGACGTCCTGCCGGGGCCACATATATAGTAGTGCCTCGCGGGCCGCAGGTTGCGAACCCCTGCTCTGGAGCATCGCATGCGTTATTCGAAGGTCACAGGTTTGGTCCCTACCAGCGGACTGCTATCTTTCCATGCCATTTTCTTTCTTTACATGTACATTGCAATTACTTCTAATAACACCCTCTATATATTTCTTGGAGTCATTGTCTGTTAGTTCTAATTAAAATCATGTTAGTTGACAGAATAATGGGGCGGGTGGCTGCCTTTACAAAGCTCGTCGGAGATATGACCATATATAGTTTAGCTAGACCACTGCGACGCATTTAATCAGGATGGCCCCGGCATATCGTACAATTGAATGGTATCCAGAGGACCGCTGAATCACACTAAAGAGTTCAAACATATCGGGCGCGTATGTCTTCTCGATCTGCAGTTGTCCAATTAATGTTTTATTATTCTTCTTAGAAAGTATTCCCAACCTCCGCTTCTTAAGATGGCACACTGTCTGCCATATTAAACCAGTACACTGCAGCGTCGAATCGGCATGCATATTCCATCGGCATATTTCACTAGACCAAAAAAAGTGACACTTTTTGGTTGAGATCTCGGTTTGTGCTCCGAAACACGGAGCCCAGAGTGGTCTATAGCCACTCTAGACCACTCTAAGTTACTGTGACCATTGTGCCAATAGACAACTGAGGTGGGTGTACGTGGGGCAACCGGGTTGGTGTGTAAAAATGGCTGATTGTTCGAGTTGGTGTCGGTGTGTAAACATTCGGCTAAGCGAGCATCTTAATAATTCTTCTACAAACGGCTATTCACTCAAGTCTAAACACTGTGTAAAGTAGGTACCAATAACACGTGTCACCCACTTCTCGACAAAACAAACATTTGGTATCGCCGCCGGGATCGTTGCACTCGAGAGTCGTTCAAATTTTTACATCATCACCAGACGTGGACGCAAAAGCAAACCTTTGCTACCTTTTGATGATTGTGAGCTGGAATAAGCATGGTACGTGGGCGTAATCTCGGCACCACACAAGTTGGCTGGACGGTGTCCGTGGGTCAGCCACGTTGACAGAAATGCCTGGATGCCTGAAGAAGCACACCATACCTTATGTGAAATGCGTGACGGTTGCATAAATACCGCTGTCGTGTGGGAATACGTACGTAGGCCAAACAGGACGCTGTCTCAACGACCGACTCGGGAGCATCCTTTATCTCTAAAGAATAAAAGAAATGCGTATTTACCTGCGCATGGTATAGCCTGCAGATGTGATCCTCGGCTTCGCGAGGTCAAGATAATAGGCAGAAGCAACGAAACATTAGTGCGAGCTATTGGGGGCGTTTGACATTAAGAAAAGAGGCACAGCTTACATTATTGATACGACTATTTTACTTTACCAAAACGAGCTGCAGCTTTCTGACACGCGAATGTGACCAGTGTTTACCGATTTTGACGCACGCATTCGCAGAGATTTGTAATCTGGTGGCCTGTTCTTTCAAATAAACAAAGAAGTTTATCGCACGACCTTTCTGCTCCCTCCTACTTATTTACTAGAATCTGTGTTTTTTCCAAGTTTGCGGTATTATGTACCCTACTGACGTTAAATCAAATCGCCCAACAACAATTTATACTTAGTGTTGCATATTCAGAAATTTTTCAAAAATAGTTTCCTTCGCTTTACAAGTACGTTTCATAAATGTTACTTTACTGTTTCTGTCGCATACATTTCACACAAAAAATTCAACGGTAATGTTTGCTTATAACACCCTCATCACCTGTCGAGAACGACGGGTGATGAAATTGGTCCCCCGCATTGAATATGTTCCATATTTTTGATCCCATAAATTATGCAGTTTAAAAGAAAACTGGGTTCCTTTTCGGGCTGCTTGGTGCTATATACATAAAATATGAAATACTCAATCAAATGTGATACATCCTTTTCAGATTCCTGTCGATCTCACTTCAGTTCGGTTTATTACCTTATCTCCCGTGGAATCACCCGTTTAATTTCTATAACCATGGTTAGGAGACTAATTGCGGTTATGCTTGCTGTGCAGTCCTTTAATTAATGGACTTTACTTGAAACAGAGGGACGCCAATCAAAGTAAGGAGTAAACAAATGTTTTGTTTTGTTGTTCTTAGGTGCAATATCAAGACTAACAAAGAAAAACTAGCCCTTGAAATATCCACTTCTTTTCTTCTTTTTTTTTAGCTGCAAGAAAAAATTCCACGATTCGCGTACTTTTTCTTCCTGCCGTGGGGTCGTGCCTATTCTTCATGATGAGCGAAATTATATTGAGCGCACTCGATTAGCAGCGCACCTTAAGCCGGTTGAAGTTACTGGCTGTCTCCTTGCGAAAGGGGCATGCCCTTCCTGTACCGACGTGGGTGCCGCCCGCAGCCGACCAGCCGTCTTGAAAGACGTCAGCTCCTCAGGGGAATGTGTAAAAAGTTTGTTGACTGACTGACTGTCTTGGATAGGCCAGGATTTCGCGAAAACCTGTTTAAATAAGCTGCATCTTGTTCGACGACGCCGGCATTGTGAAAATAGATGCCGTGGTCCGCGAACGTACTCTTTGTCACTGGAACTTGGGGACATCGCTCTTATGTTGCCGTAGCTTCTCAGGAAGTTCAATACTTGCCCTACGAATGAAATGTCACAATAAGCACGTGCGTGGCATGAAGTAAACCAACCCATGCGCTTTCCCTACGGGCAGCCTGTATTTCGGGCACGATGAAGGGCAGGTCCAAGAAATCCACCTGCACAGTGTACTTCCACGAAAAGCATGTCCGTCCAGTTTAGCGTGGCTTTTTCAAATCTTGAACTTGTTTTGCAAATAAACAAACGCTCGCTAATTGCAACGTATATCGTTGCAAATTTGGCGAGTGTTTGTTTATTTGCAAGACACGTATGCCCCTCGCCAGACGGTGTTTCGTCGAATCCTTCACTAGATCTTGAACTTGATTTTGAAAGAAACCGTTTCTGCATCGACCAATATTCACGGCGCTGCTAGACACGTGTAGGAATGTGTACCCTCTCGCTACCCGCAGCTAAGACGGCACATGAATTCCCGTGTAAAGGCAACTACTCCTTATCCTTATTGTCAGTGAAAATATCTCACCCTTGCCACCCACCCCCCCCCCCCCCTTCCTCCACGACGCCCGCCTTCCAGGTGCAGTCT